TTTTTTCCTAATAAAAAAAAATAAACTAAATATAAAATAATATTATATTTCCCTTTCAAAAAAACTAAAAACATTTATAGTAATATTTTATCTTTTCTGTAAGAAAAAATAAATATTAAATTATAATAAGAAAATCATAACAAAATTCTAACATCGTCCTTCCTCGTATATTATACCAGGAATCTAAAATATTAAATTCAACCATTTTGAACAGAATATATTATATAATTTTTTACGAAGGACGGCCTCAAGATAATATAGCTCTGCATCTGGAGCTCATAGTCCAAGTTAAAAATAATATCCTATTTTTTTCTCCCACACATCTTACTATTAAAAAAAATGTAAATTTCACCTATCTTTATCGATTGATGATATAAATATTTAACCATTCAAGCAAATCTAACTTGTCTAAGTTAGAAATAAATCTTATTCTTGGTTGTGTTTTATCAAAAAGAGCAACTTTATTATACTTACCTCCCAATGGTCTAATCACAAGTGAGGCATTAAATGAGACTTTATTGATTTCACTCATTGCTTCTTTAAAGCATTTATTGGGATTCTCAAGACATTTATGCAAAAAGTAGACACTTGTCTCAAATAAGTGTGTGAAGAACTCAACTAAAGTGAAGTTGAAGAAAGCATTTTAGATCTAAAACTTTGTAAGTTTTACTTTGGCACATGGGGGGGTTGTGTTGTAAAAATCAACACATCAAAATACACCCTTCAAAGGAGCTTTGAAGCTAGCACATGACATGTTACTATAATATGGGCAACACAATCCTTAGAAAAAAATAGGGACCCTCTTTACACATCTCTTTGATCCACCAAACATATTTACATATAGGTGAATATATAATTAAAATATAAAATAAATAAATATTTAAATTAATGTGTGAATATTATTACGTTTTGTAAAGAGATTTAAATTTAATGCAGTATAATTTATATTAATATAAGAGAAAATGCACAAGTACTCCCTCAACCTATGCACGAAATTTCAGAGACACACTTATACTATACTAAGGTCCTATTATCTTTTTGAACTTATTTTATAAGTAATTTTTTATCCATTTTCGACTTACGTGACACTAGCTTGAAAAAAGGCAACCAGCGTTGAACCCATAAAATAGTGTCACGTAAGCGAAAAGCGGTAGAAAATTATTAATAAAATAAGTTTAGGAGGATAATAGTTACTTAGTATAGTATAAATATGTATAAAATTTCGGACATAGGTTGAGGGGGTACTTGTGCATTATCCCTTAATACAATAATATATCTATTGACTTGTATTATTTAGAATGCAATAGCCCAATAATATTATATAATTTAAGTAACTCTAGATTAGAAGATTTCAAAATGCAACAAAAAAAAATGTTATCCTTTTGTATAAATTGCAGACTTAAAACATATTTACATTGATTTATTTTAAGTCCTTTTAAGTCGGATAAAATAATAGAATAATGAGTAATGAGAGAAGAAGTAATGTAGTTTATCAAAATTGTTGTATTGAAAATACATTGTAGTTATCTAATAGTTAATCATTATTCTTAGCGTTCCATATTAACTAAATTTTTGAGGTGTTTTATATTTTTTATGAAAAATAGATTACAATATAATTGAATTACTTTTTTACTTTTATTTTTATTAATTATTGTTAAATTTATGATTAAATAACTAAATAATCCTTCTGTTCCTATTTAGTTGTCCACTTTAGAAGTGACACACATATGAAGACATTAATGATTATCATATGTTAGTTACAATTTTACCCTTGAAATTAAAAGATTATGTAACTCCCCAAGTATAATAAATGTATTTTCTGGTTCCAAAAAGCATGCATTACAACTTAATAGTACTTGAAATTTTTTAGAATTAAATAAGGGCATATTATGAAAAAATATATTGTCCTTTCTTAATTTGTTAAAATGGACAAGCAAATAGGAACAAACATAAAAGGAAATATGAACAAGTAAATAGAAACGGAGGGAGTAATAATTAATCACTAATGTCGGTACTAACTAATGAAAAGTAAAATTAGAAGAACACTCGGAAAATAATGTTGAAAAATAAAAAATTAAGTTAATTTAAAAAATAAAAAATAACTCAAAAATTAAAGAAATATAAAATGAATTAAGTATTTCTTAAAAAGGGTGTAAAATGAATAAGTAAAAGTAAAAGATTACCGCTAGCTAAATAATCCAGCAGTTTTAAGTTAACTTAATAATTTATACGCAGCTGTCAATAATCATAACGATGGAAGTACTCTCTCTAGGCCATATTAAATGAATAGTTGGGATGTGATATATTTTTTAAATAAAAGTATTCAAGGATAAAAAATAATTAAGGGTAATGTTAAATGGGGAAAAAAATTAGCTAGAAATTTAAAAAGTTTATAATATTTTCTTTTAATTTTAAAACAAATTATTATTATTTTCATTTTTCAACTGAAAAATATTAAAGTTAAAATGGAAAAACTATTCAATTTTTTTATTAAAAAGGTAAAAATATTCAAAAAAAAATAAAATAATATAGATAAAATATCACTTTTGATCAAATTTCTTTAAAACTTCAAAAATTTTACTTTATTTTGATTTTTGAATTATAAGAAAATCACAATAATTCACTTTTATATGGAAGGAGTAATAAATAGTGAATTCACTTATGTATTCTAATTCTAGATTAAAATTATTGGAGCTTTAATCAAATTGAAATCGTATACTTATATTGCGAGAATTATTTGAGGATGATACTCTTAATATGATTTTTTTTCATACACAAAATTGAATCCCTCAAACACCAAAATTCAAAATCCACTTATTACGAGTGAAACACCACTCACGATCCTATTTAGGAATGACACTCTCAATATGATTTTTTTCCATATACAAAACCTGACCCCCTCATATATTTAATTTTAAAACCTCTAATTAAAAATAAAATAAACATATCGACTACTATATCGACGCAAGTCATATTTATGGGGAAACAAACTCATGTAACACGATGTAGACATTTCCAGTGAAACAAATAAAAAGTTTATGACAAATATGGTGACAAAAAGACTAAATTAAACCATGCACGTTTGTATACATTTCTGTTATATGATTATCATAACAAGACTTTTTAAACGTCATTATAGAATCTTCGAGCATTTTATTTTATTCGACTCATATTGATTTGATATAATTCTTTTAGAAGATATATTTATCAAAAGAGTTTCTATTAGATTTTGTAAACTTAAATCTGACAATTATTTTTTCGTCTCAAAATAAATATTTATTTTATATATTTTGAACTTATCAAGAAATAATTATAGAAAGTATAGTTTACTAAATAATCTCTATCTATTAGGAAAATTATGTATTATTAAGAAAAAAGCTTTTTGATACGAAGGTATGATTGAAAAAACATACCATATTGATTTTGTTTAAAATTTGAAAGCGACTTTATTTTGGATTTCTTTTTTTTTATTAAAGTGTTTTCTAAAATAGAGGAAATAATACTTTATATAGTTATTTAGTTATAAGGGCAATATTACAACAAATGAACAATAAATTTCTCTTAATTTGCTTTGCAGATGAATTACGAAATCTATTTTTAATATAAGATAAGTAAAATAAAACATAAATTAATATTTCCACAGGCTTCTACAGAATATAGCAACTAGACACACTACTCTGGAGATTCTTTGGAACTGTTTGAAGGGAGGAAAATATTTTTCAAAAAATAATTTTTTAATTTAAAAAATTACTTTTTATTATTTTTAATAAATTTATTTTTTCTAAAAATATGCAACACGATCCATGCCATCGTATGGTCCAATTTAATGTGGATTTGTTTGTTATTGGATTGCGAAATTCTATTGGGCCGTTAGGTCCGAAGGCCTTTCAAAGTTTAATTTATGGGAAAATTGTATATAATAGCAAATTAATAACCTAAAATAAATGAAGTAGCTAGGGTTTGATTTAATTGTGCTTCATATCAAATCTTTGCAAAAAATTGTCAGACGTCTCTCTCCCGAATATCTCGCCTGCTTCCTCACTTTTTATACGAACACAAGTGTACAAACGTTATTTCTAATTGTATAAAGCAGAGAAAATTGTATAAATACACATATTTTTGTTCCCCTCTTCCAGATATCGCTCTCCACTCTCCCAAATCTCGCTCGCCACCCTCGCCTTTCTTACTTATACAAATAGAAGCGAAATGTATAAATTGCGTTTCTATTTGTATAAAGCGTGAGAAAATTGTATATACACATGCAAGTACATATATTTTCGTCCTATACACTTATAATTATACAATAAAAATACTCCCCTGCCCAGTATCTTTTGCCTTTCTCTCTTTCTCGTTTTATACAATTTTCAAATTGTATCTAATTTCTTTCTTTCTCGTTTTATACAATTCGATTCAATTGTATATTCATCGTCAAGTCTCTTTTGTCTTTCTCTTTTCTCTTTTTATACAAATTCATATTGTATATAATCGTTCTATACATTTATAATAATACGATTCGTTTTTATACAGTTTTCTGCCCAAGTGTTTTTCTCTTTCTTATTTTATACACTTCGTTTTATACAATTTGTATCAACTGTATATGTATAACGAATTATACAGTTTCTATGTTTGTTACGGAGCGTAATTATACAAATTTTGTTATAACATAATTTTTTATTTTCTATATGTGAAAATTGCCCTTTATGAAAATTACGAGTGTATTAAATTAGGGGTGGGCATAAACACCGAAAAACCAAAACACCGAATCGAACCGAATTTTTTTAGAATTTCGGTATCAGTATTTCGATTTTCGGTTCGGTATTCGGTTTAATTTTTTGTATTTTTTGATATTTCAGTTCGATTTTCGATACATATTACTTTGGAATTCGATATTTCGGTTTAAACCGAAATATTATGCTATAATTTAATAATTTATAAATTATATTATATTAATTAATTATTAATATTAAATAATTTTTTTAAAAAAAGTAGAAAACCCTAATACCCTACTTTGACTCTTTCTCTTTCTACTAGATTTTTTCTCCTTTCAATTCACTCCTCATCCTCTCCTCTTCAGCTCTTCTTCCTCTTATCTTCTCCTCTTCCTCTTCTATTCCAACTACTCTTCAGCTCCAACCACTCTTGTCTTCAGCAGCGCCGCCAGGCGCCAGGCGCCAGCCGCCGTCCACAACAAGGGAAGCAGCAGTAGCCGCGACAGCAGCACAGCAGCAGCCAGCCACAGACAGCAGCACAGCAGCAACCAGCCGCGACAGCACTCAGCAGCAGCCAGCCGCCGACCGTGCAGCAGTTTGGTCCATTAAAAAACCGAAATAAAAAATCGAATCGAATTAATAAAAATCAAACCGAAATATTTCGATTCGGTATTCGATACGCAATTTACAAAAACCGAAAACCGAAAAAACCGAAAAAAACCCGAACCGAACCGAAATACCGAATGCCCACCACTATATTAAATTTGAAGTAATTATATACCCATCTCGATTTTAATTTAATATAAACAAATAATAAACCCTTCTCCAAGATAATAAATCCCTTCTTCTCCAAAGTTCCAGTACCTTCTAGTTTCTACAAAATCTCTTCAATAAATTCTTCTTCTTCCCTAAACAAAACACCGAAAAATCTAAGTAAGAAATCAAAAATGGCGAAAGAGGGACCTAATTGGGATGGTTTATTGAAATGGAGTCTATCTCATGCTGATGGTACCAAACCTCCTCCTCGCAATTTGAGGTAACCAAATTCGAATCAATGAATTTCTTTGTTTTATAGCAAAAGATTGAAACTTTTGATATGGGTTTTGTTGGTTGAATAGTAATTTCAGTTTAGATAGTTTGTAGGTTTGAGTTGTGTGCTGTGCACACTAAGCCTCTTGTGTTTAAGTGGAGAGGGTGGGCTTATTGTTCTTGTTTTCAAAGGTTGTAGTGTAAAAGAGGGGTTCTGTAGGTGATGATGACAAGCTAAAAATAGTTGAAACATGAGTGGAATTGATAAAAGAGGATTTATGTAGCAGGCAGATTGGTTTTGGGTTGATTGGGGTAGTATTTGAAAAAAGTTTCCATTTTATATGTTCATTGATTGGTGTAGGGATAGATCTTTTTGTAGTATGCTTTGTCATGGTTTCTTTTAGCATTTTGTCTCGACTTCTTTACTTCAGTTGTTTTCATTTTTCGAATTGTGTTGTAATGATTTTACTTGAGCTGAGGGTCTATGAGAAACAACATCATTATCCTTCCCAAACCCCACTTATGGAATTACACTTGGTATCTTATTCTTGTTGATTGATTAATTGGTGTAGTAATTTGAATGATTCTATTTTTATTTGTTCTTTTCTGTGGAAGTTGGTCTTATATTGAAGTTATTGGTTGATTGTGTTACTGTGGGTCAGTGAGGAGGACAGGAGGTGGTTCATGGAGGCTATGCAAGCTCAAACTGTTGATGTGATTAAGAGAATGAAGGAGATTACACTTGTCATGCAAACACCAGAGCAGGTTTTGGAATCACAGGGGGTGACTTCCCAAGATATTGAAGGTACTTGTTTAGTTTTTCTTGATAATGTGTAATCATATTTTATGAATTTTACTCGTTTTGACTTTTTTGCTGGCCTTGTGATTTCACAGATATGCTGGATGAGCTACAAGAACATGTCGAATCAATTGATATGGCTAATGGTGAGTTCTTGGTGTAATTTAGTTATTCAGAAATGTGTGTGTATCATGATTTGGTAGTTACGCATATTACATAATTCTTGCTAACCAGCTAATTTGGAATTGAGGTCTTGTTGTGGAAGCTCTATCTGTTAGAGTGTCCCACATTAGTTGAGGGAATAGATTGTTGTCTCCTTATAGTATTGGACAATTCTTGTCACATGAGCTAGCTTTTGTTGTTGATTTAGGCCCAATTCTTGTCTCCATTTCTTAATATGGAGTTAGAGCTGCATCAGTATTTTCTTAGTTTACTGAATACTAGGCCCAATGTTAAATTGTTCATGCTCTGGTTATCTACTCTCGGTTATCAGAGGAGACTTAACATCTCACATTGTTTGAAAGAATGACCCCTTGTCTTTTATATATTTTTTGCTCAATCCTCACCTCTTAAGCTAGCTTTTGGGGTCCAGTGCCCAAGGCCAATTCACTTGATAATATCATGTAGGTTTAATTGAAGTTTCCAATGTTGCACGTCATGTGCTTGAACTTCGCCACATTCAAAATCACTGTATTTAAGTGGACGAGAGTAGAGGCGCGTACCAATTATTGCCTAGTTATGAGCCGGCCCTCGGAATTTCTCGGCAATTAAAACAAAATTGTCCTGATCAAAGAGTAGTTTCATTGGTTATATGAGTTCATTCTTTTGCTGTTCTTTGACAAAGGTAGTCTGTAGTTCATATCATTGTGTTCATCTAGGAGCCAAGATTGTAATTATTTCCTGTTTTGTGAAGTGTGACCTGACAAGCATCCTGTATTTCTGTGAGTAGATACTGACCAGCATGCATGTTGGATACTCCATAAATAGTGCATATTTGAAGAATCCGACACGGGTGCAACAACATTTTTGGAGAGTTTGAGCAACATAGTTCTGCAATGGTTTTTTCTTAGACTGAAGAATTTTTGTTCTGTCTCAAAATTGCAGTAATGATATTGCTCTCATCTTTTACCTATGATAAATTCAACGACGTACATCCACTCATTTCAAGGAAAACCATGTGAGAATAGGTGCTCAGTAAAGTTATGCAACTTCATGATAATCTCTATTGAAGATGTTTGTGCTCCATAATCACATATTCAAACAAATAAAAACCTCAGTCACACATATCCTCTTTGATGTTGCTCCTGATTTCCAGATGTTTATCTCTGGTTCCTAGTTATTGTAATTGGTTGTGTTCAGATAATAATTACTTGTTGAAAAACAAAAAATGAAGCATATTAGACCAAGCTGACACTATTAAGTATTCCATAATATACATCACTCTGATCCTCCATCATGCCTTTTTCCGTCATAAGCTTAATTCTGATAATTTATGTCAGCAGTCACAATTTTCTTTTAATATGTATTTCGTATGAATGTACTCTTGGTGTTATTGTGATTTGTGCTCTACATTATGAGGTCCTTGAGACTTCTAGTCAACCTAGAAGTAAAGAAAGAAAGGTCTACCAAGTAGAAAAGAAATAAATGAAGAGGTTTCTCGTTTACTTTGGTATGAATCAGTTAAGGGGCTTTCATGAGCATGAAGAGAATGGGTATATCCTACAGTTTGAGATGTTTTTACTCTGTTGCCTCTTTAAGAGCTTGGTAACTGGTTGCTTCCTTGAATTGAATGGAACACTTCAGAACAAGGCCTCCAAGAGTATCTAAGAGTATGGAACAAAGTAAAAAACATGTAATCTCTCATCCTTTACAGCATTAATGTTAAACTGGAATGCCTATGACTAAGCTATAACGGATATCAAGAGCCACTCGAACCTGGTAGGCCGTATTCCATGGTTACTGCTGGAAACTAGAAAAAGAGAAGAGGACCAGAAAGACCTGGGGGAAGTGGTCTATACTTTGTTAGTGTTACTGGCTCATAGGTAATCTTTACTATCAGCACTTGGACATTCCGCTCTTTGTGTCCTTTCCCTCCTCATTCCTTGGGGATTTCGTTCTCTTTACTTGCTTTGTTGTCATTTTCTGTTTGAGCTTTCAATATTTAATTATGTGGTATTCCCATTATTAAAAGTTTTAGTCTTATGCTCGATTTCTTTTATTGTTATTCGGCAGATCTGAATTCAATTGGTGGATTGGTGCCTCTTCTTGGTTACTTAAAGAACTCCCATGCAAACATTAGAGCCAAAGCGGCAGAAGTCGTAAGTACAATTGTTCAGAACAACCCGAGGAGCCAACAACTGGTAATGGAAGCTAATGGCCTAGAACCCCTTCTGTCAAATTTTACCTCAGATCCTGATGTTACTGCCCGCACTAAAGCTCTTGGTGCAATTTCATGTGAGTACTTTCCCCGTTATGATTTATTAGTTAAGTGTGCCCTTTAAATTTTGGTGTCATGTCATCTGTGTTTTCCAGTAGCGTTGATCAACTAGTTTTTTTATTTTTCCTTTATTCCAGCTTTAATTAGGCACAACAAGCCTGCCATTGCTGCATTTCGTCTTGCAAATGGTTATGCAGGTTTAAGAGATGCTTTGAGTTCTGAGAGTGTGAGATTTCAGAGGTACTATTTTCTATATCATGCACTAGACGTTTCTGAATCAACCATTGATGAAGCTGCTGCTTTCCCGTAAACCTTCCTCTTTTATATTCCTTTCTAATAGGTATAGTCCTGTTCTTTTGCAGGAAAGCCCTTAACTTGATCCATTATTTACTACATGAGAATCATTCAGACTGCAATGTAGTGACTGAGCTAGGATTTCCTCGAGTTATGATGCATCTAGCCTCTAGTGATGATGGAGAAGTGCGAGAGGGTGCCCTACAAGGTCTTCTTGACCTTGCCCAAGACAAGACAGGAGAGGTTGCTGGCTCCTCATCGACTGAAGAAAATGAGAAACTCAAGCAAATACTCCAGGAGCGAATTAAGGGGATTTCCTCTATGTCACCTGAAGATCTTGGTGCTGCTAAAGAAGAGAGGCAACTTGTAGATTCCCTCTGGAATACTTGCTACAATGAACCTTCCTCTCTTAGAGAGAAAGGCCTAGTTGTTCTCCCCGGAGAGGATGCATTACCACCTGATGTTGCTAGCAAGCATTTTGAACCTCCTCTGAGAGCTTGGGCTGCAAATAGGAACGAGGATACTAAGCCAAGTAACGAAAAGAAACAGGCTCCCTTATTGCTAGGCCTAGGTCCACCTACACAGGGTCCTCCTGTGCAGAATAGCTCTAGTGGAGCCATGTCTGGGGAAGAAAATAGAGACACCTCTGCATGATGTACATTTTTGGGCAATACCAGGTTATTCAGCTTAATATATCTTTGTGATATTACAAATAACACTGTGTTAAATGCCAAGTGTTTTCTGGATAATTTTGAGTCTTTCCTCTCTGTCATGTCACACTTCCAATTTTTCTTCATTTCCTTTGTTGTTTAACCAAATTCTCAAGTGTAATGCTGTATTTGTTTTGGTTATAGTATACGTACAACATTGACTGTTGAATCTGTTTTTATTTTGGTGAATTTTATCACAATATGAAAATCTGAACTATTACTAGTATTGCTGTTCATTGACTTCCATTAATTTTCTGCTATGACTTGAGTTACATAAGTTGAGGACAACAAACTGCCTCTAGATGGACATGTGTTTCCATCCAATCCTAAGGTACATGAAACTTGTATTACAGATTCCCAGAACTCTTTATTTTGGAGGGCAAAAGATAATGACATACCTTGTAGCCCTACACCTGTTTAGGCTAGAAGACTCATCAAATGCATAACTGTAAGCCTTGGGACAGATGGCTTTAAATAGATGAGCAAAAATAGTAGGTTTGCAAGTTTTGGGATCTGCAAACTTTCCTGTGCAGCAGTACTTGGCTGATTGTATAGCCAAGCAAGCACTCTTACACCCTACCACTTCTCCATCAACCTTCACTTCTAGTGCAGATGGGCAACATATATTCAGATCAACATCACACTCCGCCACGCCACAACCTGTTCCTCCACCTACAGGTCTCATTGAAACTGGCACGTTGAAGCCATCGACCAAGCTCACATCGTAGAAATGCAGGGGCGAAGTTGATGAGCCTAGTGTCATTTCCACAACAGTAGCTGGTGGCTTACCTCCTAACCCCCTGCATTTTAACTGACCATTACAGTCTCCAGTATCACATGAGCCTTGACCAGTCTTATTAAAGTGACAATTCTGCCTGGCCCATAGCCTACCTGACCACTTCTCAGGCACATCGAAGACTACTTCGTCACCACTTCTCATATGAAAGCCACCATCTTTAGGAGTCATCTTCCCTGTATTCCCAAGAATTCCAGGCCATATGCTTCTTCTGCAGTTGTTCACTAGGATAAGTTGTGTCCCATCTGCAGTCACATGAAAAAGAGTAAAACAAGTCAAGAAGATATTGTGCATTCAAACAAGCTAGGACATAGATTAAGAGTCAGGGAATTACTTGTGCTGACAAGAAAGAGGTATAGACAGAGTGCAATACATAGTAGATGAGTTAAAATCTGCATTTTGACACTTTGAGAAGCTGAAGCTCAGGTAAACTGAGTCAGTGGGGAGTGGAAGAGCTAGCTCAAGTTTATAAGTACAAACTAAATATTCTGTTTAACTGTGTGCTTTTAGTTTATTATAACCAACAATGGTATCTTTTTTACCTTTCTTTTGGGAACACGGGGCATATATGCATTGCTTCAAGTGTAGGACTTGTACCACACTATAGATTAATGTGATTTGGAGATATACTTAGCTTGTGTAGATGCTTCAACTCTACTCACTCATCACAAAGCTAGAATTGTCATGGTCTATGTTGCTCGAACTATTAAAAAATATTAATGTGCGCGTGTTTGATTCTCCAAAAATAGTTGACTCACTCATCAGAGAAGCTAGAATTGTCATGGTCGATGTCGTCTAGACTCGATGTCAATGTGTCGGGTTCTTCAACAATAGTATATTTCTGGAGAAATCGACACAATTACGGAATCAAAAGTGAAAAATATTGCGCGAGATTTAGGCGGTGGTTATTGATCAGATAATTTATTCGTGATACGAGTTATTTAAAAACATGTGAGATGACCAAAAATATTGTAATAAAGTTGCTCTCTTTTTATTGTGCATAAAATAATAGTACATAAATTTTCTCATAATTTATACACGTATTAATTACATGAGTTTCCAAATTGTAATCTATTAATTTTTACCTCCTAAACACATACTCACATATTCTAATTATAATATATGTCTAACTTATCTCAAAACTAGCTATCACACGATCCTAGTATTTTTATCTGATCAGATCTGAATAAGTTATTTTTGTTAAAAGAAAACTGTCTTACACTAATAAGTATTGTGATTAAGCTTTAAAAATGAAAAGGACTTGAGCTGCATTAAGCTTTAAGCTATCGTTTTAACTTAACAGTAAGGATTAGAATGGTCCCTAATATCTAATTAACACCTAATAGTGGATATATATAGTAGCAAACGTATATGTTTAACTTTTCAAATGTATATGTACATAATTTTCAAACTTAATCAATTGTGTCGATCAACTTTTTGATTAATCTAGAAATATTTTAATTTCACAATTTTACTGTCCGTTTTACTATAATATTTGTTTGCAATACAATGTATATTTTCATTGCATAATGAGAAAGGAGAGAAAACGAAAAATTAATATGTAGGTTGGATTACAATAAAAAGAATATTTTTATTCTCTAACTTTGAATTTCATGGTATTAAAAGAATCATGTAATCATAAATTTAAGGTACCAATACACACGAAAATTGATGTTCTAATTCACTTATCAAGAATTTAATTTTTCTAATGACTTATCTGTTTCAAATTATATATTGTGTTTCTCTTCATTTGGGTAATTTTAGTATGCTTGAAGATATAATTTTCTATTAAATTAATATTCAGTCAAATTATCCAGATCACATCTATTAACTCTCGAATAGTGGATTAAAAGATTTAAACCTTTCAATTCGATGAACGGAAAGATTGAAGTTCAACTTATTATATATGGATATGATTTTGAAAGAAATGATATTAGAAGTTGTAGAGGTCGTCGTCTTTCATATTGAGATTTCAAAAGAAATTTAAATCGATAATTTTTTTACACAGAATATGAAAAGATAATATTTGGTTCAATTAAAATCAAGTGTTCCATTCATTCTTTTAATCTTCAAAAATAATTACTCATATTTAATATAAAATAAAAAAGTATTTTAAACTTTTAAAATAATAAATAATTTGAGATAATTATTTTTAAAATTTAATAATTAGAGAATAAATGGAGTAGTTCCATCAAATTCAAAGTGACTGAAATCGAACCCTAAATCTGATAAACCCTTTGAATTTAGGGTTTTGCAGAATCATTTACTATGTTTCGAATCGGAGCTAAGCTCTATAGAGCTGCGAGAATCGGTGGCTCCGCCGTGTCCGATTTCAGGTCACCATCAACAAGATTTTTCTCCATTAACAACAATGTTAATACTGGTTTCAAGACCAACCCAGTTGCTCTTCAAATGATCAATTATGCTCTTTCTCTAGCCCGGGCTCAAAAATCAGGTATTTTTTTTCACTATACCAATCTAATGAATTGGTATCTTCAGTTTGTTTTTGTGTTGTAAACTCGAATTTGCTTTGATTTCCCCATCTGGGTCATAGGTATTTTCTCTTTTCTCGACTCGTGAAGTTCATTTCTTGAGTTTAGTTGTGTTTTTGATGGATACAAATGTTTGAGGAAGATGATTTGGTTTAAGAAAATGTCAATAATGCTCTCTTTAGGTAGTAGTTAGGACAGGGACCTGCTAGGATAAACAAAGAATTGCTATTTCTCTTTTCTTATATGTTTTGGAAATTCACTCTACTGCAATTATTCATTAGCACATTTTGTGAGTTAACTGTTGGTCTTAGTATAGTTACTAGTGTTTGGAGAAAGAATTGAATTCACTCTCATATTTGTTGAAGCCAGCTTTTGGTAAGAGTTTGGCAGAGGTAGCCCTCAATCACTTACTTATTCGGTAAATTAGCTAGCAAGAGGCCAATCCTTAGGAATTTTATTTCCAAGATAAACCATTTGAATGCTACTAAATGACAAGAATAATCTATTGGAACACGGCACATGCATCACACATAAGGGAGACGCCGGAAGACTTATAATGAATTTGTCCGTTACTCCGTTTCGGGGTCTTTCACTTTTGCCATATCTGGAGAAATACTACAAGTCTTCCGTCCTACATTCCATGGCCACGGCCATCTGATTGACTGATGCTACCAAAAGAATCTCGTACTTGCGTTATTGTTATTGATTGTTTGATTGTCTTGGACCATGAGGATCCCAGTTATGCTTTTGATTTTCATTCCCATCATAATGCTGATGATAAATCTCCTCTTGCTCTGCCATAAGAACTTGGAGTCGGTATTATGGTGAAGATAATATAACACTGTCATTCTTACTCAAAGACAGACTGAAGGCCCATAATTTGACATTGAATTATTTATTATCCAAATAAAATAAGATTTTCACAGTATATAACAATTTTTTTTGTTTCTTATCTCTAGGACTTTGATGATTTAGGTTAGAAGTATTATTATTTTTAATCAGTCATCTCTTCTATTTTTTTTAGCAGAGCTCGAATATCACTAAGACTGTTAAATATAAAGAGGTTAAACGATTCAACATATAGAATATATACTTTTAAAAAGCTACCTATTTTTTTATGATTAAGTCCCTTAGACATAGTCTATACCAAAATATTGTTATTACAAGTGCAAAAGGAAACAAATTAAAATAAAAAGAAAACATAAGCCCAACAGGGCGATACAAAGGAGAATCATAAATAGAGAAAGCTAGACAGAAAAGTTTAATTTTTCGGGGGATCACTAGACTTGCCCTCCTCGGCCTCACCCATCTGCTCCATTTGTAATCTCTCAGCAAAGAGTAGGTATCCGTCTTAAATCTTATTCAAAGAAATCTTGAATGAACCAATATTGCTTATCCATCCTGGAAAGATAAGTCTTTGAATGCAAAGAGTAGGTATCTGTCTTAAATCCTCTTCAAAGAAAGCTGAAAGTAACCAATATCGCTTATCCATCCTGGAAAGATAGTCTTCACATATGCTTCAGAGCTCATTATATTACAAGCAGCAGATGATATGTGCACAATCAGAAATCTGAACCAATTTCAAAGCGAAAGCAATGGTCAAGACAAAGCAACAACTCGACTCGGGGAGAAGTCCATTTGATAGGAATTTTATAGCTAGCAGTAATAGAACATTTAGTAGATATTTAGTTTGTGTTAACTTAGTAACTTGTATTAGTCTATATTGAGTTTTTACAACTCTTTAACTTCTACCGTTTTACACTAATGAGGAAAAGAATGATTAATGTAAGCTAGGTTCATGTACTGGTTATAAATGAAAAAAATATTTATTTATGGAAGGGCATTTTTGTTCATCAACATTTAAGGTTACTTTAGTAATTTAATATTTTGATTTGGGGATTCCCACTTAAAGAATAGTGTGTGTGCGCGCGCGCGTGTATGTATGTGCCGCCTCTGAAGCACTTTTTTTTTGTGTGCGTGTGTATCTATACATATACATATATACATACATATGTAGAGAGATAGACTAATGAAGGTATCCATTCATGTCCTTAAGAAGAGTTGCTTTCTAATGGAAAAGTCACTATTTTTCAAGTAACACCTTTCATGAATGGACGTATCTTTTGAAAAAGAAAGACACGACAGTCAACCATGTAAGACCTCGTGAAATTTGTGAACTATCATTTAGGCCAGTTGTAAATGTGAATTTTCTTCTATTTTCCATGTGGTCATAGATGCCTATTCGAAAAATCAGGTCTTTCACTTTTCCCATGTCATCAAGTTCATTTCTTGAGTTTTTATCTGTTGTAAAATATGAATCTACTTTGATTTTCCTCATTGGTTACATGTGCTCTTTTCAATCAGTTCTTTTTTTTCCTTTTTTTCCTTTTTTTTATTACTTTTCCCAGCTTATCAAGTTCGTATGTTCTGTTGGTTCTCTGCTGTCATTGTGAATTTGATTTTTGATTTTCCATGTGTTGTGCATAGACGAATCATATGCGCAAGCTCAATTGGTACTTGAGCAGTGCCACTCAACTCAGTCGGATGAGAGTGCTAAAGGATTGGTTATGCTCGCTATGTCTACCTTATTTTCTGAAAGGTTAGTCTTTATGATGTGGTTATCCACTTACAATTTATGACCTGGAATTTGAAGTTAATAGTTTTATTCTCCTTTCCCGGTGTTTTCTTTTTGTTTTTTAAGAGGGAATTTTAGTGAAGCCATTGAGAAGCTCCAGAAAATTCAAGATTTGGGCTTGTCAACTTTAGCTGTTAGAGGTAAAACTTGTGGCACTTATGATAGAATCCACAGTTTGAAGTTCCCATTGTGACAATTAGACATATGATTGCAGTTGCCGCCTCTGAAGCACTTGCTGGGCTTTATTTAGAATCATATCAAGTAAGACTTGTTGAACTGCTGACGTCTACCTGAACTGATTTTTGGCATATCGTTTATGTATAATATAGGATCACTTAGCAAATATTTCTCCAAATGTAGGATGATTTTTCATCAGCAACTGCAGATATGTGCTTGCAACTGCTGGAAACCATAAGGCTAGAAATTGGTGGTGGTGGATCTGACATATTGGAAGCTCGTGCAAAAGCATTGAAAGGGCTGGTTGAGTTGGTCCATGGTAATGCTGAATCAGGTGAGAAATATAGTGGTCAAACTTTTCCTCTGCTTTGTGTGTTTCTTTGTTCTGAGGCTTTGAAATTGTGCATGTTCATTTCAGCTGAGTCATTCTTTGAAGGAGCTCAAGGTGATAAAGGTTGCTTTGGTAAGGATTTGCCTTGTGAGACATCACGGATGACATAGTTCTACAATATATTGATATCATGATGTATAGGCAATGTTGCACTATCTTTTGGTGAATTCCTGCATTGTAAGCGGAATTCCCAGATGGCGAGGGAGTTATATCAAAGGGCAATGCAGGATGTATCAGAACGTAAAGATTTTACCGACTCACAGTCCATATCAGCTTGTAACATGAATTTGGAGGAGACTTTGTTAGGAGCTACATGTGCTCTAGGACAGCTTGAGGCTCATTTGGGGTAAGACTTCCTTTAAATGCTTGGCTTTCCCTTGTATAAACATATACTCCAATATCTTCCCTCATGCAGACTTTTCTGGTGGCTGTAGGAATTTTGATGATGCTGAGGAAATACTAACTGCAGCACTGAAGAAAGCAGAAGAGTGCTTTGGTTTGCTACATCAATTTATTATTGCATGTATGACAAAATCATTTGTATCCTAATGATTTTTATTTATTTATGCAGGTAATTATCATCCAAAGGTAGGTATTATTTTGACCTGCATAGCTCTCATGTATCGACATAAAGCAGCCATGGAGCAGTCAAGCTCGCTTTTGATTCAAGAGGTCTGAAACTATTCTCAGAGCCATTGGCATATACAACTATCTATACACCACATGCATTTACTTTCTGTTTTACCATTGCAATGTCAACCCAGTAACATGATTTTGCCTTGGGTGGAATTCGTTTTAACATTGTGAAAAGGTTTTGGATGCATTTCCAATTTTTCTAAGAATGCATGGTGACACAATTTAGGGTTTATTCCCTAGGTGATGTTGGTGGGTTTGTTTCTAAGGATTTCTTCTGAAGATTCTGAGAAACTTAATCCAAAATAATGTCAAGAAACTGTTCATTTCAAGGACCTGAATCCAAAGAATTTCATGAGTGGCCCTACTGCAGTTACAATAGTCGAATATGAAATACTTTATTTCTCAGGGTCTCTCTCTATCTCTTAAAAGGGTTTCATTGAATAATGCAGGGACTCTATAGAAGAGCAATTGAAGTGCTCAAAGCTCCACCCTTGGAAGTAGAAGGTATGCCAAATAATGAAAAAGTTCCAAGTTTGCATCATGCAGAAATCAACTAGAGATAGAATAACAACCATTCGAAATCTTTTTACAGGTGTTGTAGCGACACGGTCTAGAAGGGATATTCTTGCCCTTGCAAGAGGTATACATTGCTTCTAAAATGTAGTAGATCTTATTTACTTCTTATCCGCATCTTGTACAGAACTGTCCAACCTCTTCAAGATATTCCCCTCTCACCCTAATTACAAGATCTTTTTTCTGGAAACGATCTTTATAGTAGTAGCAAAGGCTGAGTCTTTAGGGTCAAGTGATCTCTCTTTCTGCAACCCCCGCTTCCGTTAGGCATTATAGTTTTGAGTCTTCACTGAAAGAGATGAAGCTATTGATCGCAGGGGTTAGCATGGCTTCCCAGATCGTTGTGCTTTGGCCAAAGTAATAGATGTCACTTGCTTTTCAGTTCCATATTTTTAAAAACGGATGAATTGTTTAAATAGACTCCAGAGGAAAAACATGTGGAAATTCATTCAGAATTTAGCTGCAGTAATCAGTGAAAGTTTTGTTTGTACTTGAAGGGTTGATCTAGATTTAGCAGTGGTAGGTGTGAGGGGGGGGGGGGGGAGCAAAATAATATTGGACAGTTGCAGCTTACTGTGGATAAAACCTTAGGTAGGAGGTTGTGGAGGACACAATTTAGGGTAGAAGGATAGTAGGTAGTAAAGCGTTGTCTCACTTATCCTTCGATACTAGTAGTAGTAGTATTTCTGCTGTAATTTCTTGTCCTTCGGGTTTTCTTACTGTCTACTGTCTCTTGTACTTCGATTATCAAAGTAGTTATTGTAGTTACTGTTCTTTCTTTTTTTCCCATGATTTCCTTACTTTCATTATTTATTTTTCGGTCTGCTTTGATATGCTTTTCCATGAGCTGAGGATCTATTGGAAACAACCTCTCAAGGTAGGGAGGGGTAAGGTCTGCGTATACTCTACCTTCCCCAAATCCCAATTAAGTGATTACATTGAGTACGTTGTTGTTGTATATCCCTCTTCTGCAAAATGGTTTTGTTAGCATCCATTGATTCACTCTCCTGCCGCCCTGCTGATGCTTCTTACACAAACATCATGAAACTACTTCCATCCTAGTTCCTGGATCAACTTGCTTTGTCGTTGTACAGGTGGGTACGCAGAGACGCTTATCGTGCAACAAAACAGAAAAGCAGAAGGTGAAAAACTGAAGCAGTGGGCTGAAACAGCTTGGACAAGTCGCAGATTATCACTCGCGGAGGCACTAGAGTCATCAGCCAAAGTGTCTGTCATAGATACTCGAATAAGCCGAGTCCTGTAGTTTGTTTCCTTCCTTGACACATTACGTTCATCAACTCACAAGTATATCTATATACTTTTTGTAGATATGATATATATGCTCTAAACAACACAAGAGATTTCGAAATTTTCTTGAATAATGAATGTATTACTGTTGTACATTACTGAATTTTGCATGAAGAAATTTAAAGATTCACAACATTTAGAGAGGAATATCAAGGCCTTTTCCAATTTCTACACCAATCATTTCAAGAATTCCCTTGTTGAAAATCTGAAAAAGTGCAACACACAAAGATTACGATATAGTAATTAATCAATTAATATTTTCCTTCAAAGGTATAAAAAAAGATGTATAGTTACCAATTCCACAATAAATGTACCAATAAGACCAATCATACAAGCTCTAGAGTTCCATATCTCAGCAGTATTAGTAAAACCCAAAAGGGGTTTGCTCAACTTTGGTACTTCTTTTGGCAACTCCACCTACACAATAAAAGTTTCATTTTACAAAAACATAGTAAATATAAATGTGAAAACAAGTTTTTGGTGTTCTTCGAATTTCAAATACAATTTCACGTTATATTTGAAAATCTTATAGTCAAACGTTGATTTTCAAATAAAGTGAATTTTCATGGTCTAACGAATCCTAAGATGTCACCTACCTAGTTTCTTCCAACTCCACCTTACTATAACGGTGAAATCCAAAATTTCATTAAGGGGATTAAAAATAAAATCTTATGCCAATAGGATTTAACAACTTATGATTTATGTGTGTACCCTAAAAGAGTCATTTCCCCTTATTTATATAATAATACTCCTTACGTCTTTATTTATGTTGCATAATTCAGATTTTCAGACTAAATTGACTTTTAATCGTAAATTAGATGAAATTTTTTATGTTTTTTTTTCAAAATATAAAAAATTACAAAGTAGTGTAAGTCTCAGTAATCATAATTCAAAGGCACATGAAAAATTTACAATCAAACAAAAATGCAACATAAATTGAGGTATAATTTGTTAATTATAATGTTAGTATTAACTAATAATAGAATACATACCCCAGGTGGAACCTTTGCAGCCTGAATGTTGAAGGAGGTCCTTTTGGTAATTTTCAAATTGGGATTATTTGGAAGAAATAAATGATGATTTTGAGAATAATTTGGAGAAAGTGTTGTTGAGAGAAATGAAGATGAGAGTGAAGCCATTGTTACACAAAAAAAATAAAAAATAAAGTAAAGTTGAAGCAAATTAGCCCATTGTATTCTTGTTTTTGTGTTACCTTATCAACAAATTATTTTGTGGTCTCCAAAATTCTAATTTCTATGAGTGTGTGGGGGTCCACTCCCACCATAGGTGTACCACCTTCACACCTCATATTTTTTCTTACTTTGTATTAATTTGATTTGTAATTTTGGGAAAACGTACAAGTACCCCTACACATTATCGAAATTCCAGAGAACACATATTAGTTAAATTAAGATTCTATTACCCCTTTTGGATTTATTATTTTTGTAATTATATGTATTTTTTGTCTTACGTGGTACACTTCGTGACTCCGTGCAATTGAGGCGCGTGAAAGATATTTGGATATTACCTAAACCAAAAAAGGTGTACAAAATTACCAAAAAAAAATAAGTTTGGGAGGATAATAGAACCTTAGTTTAGTTAATGTGTCTCTGAAATTTCAGTCATAGTTTGGAAGGTACTTGTGCATTTTTTCTATAATTTTGTAAAGTTCAACGGCTAGAGATATGTGTCTGATATAATATATGTAGGCAGTATGGTGTGAATTGTCACGTAAAATACATTATGTCTATTTGTTTAATTTTATATCAATTTAAGCGTTTGAATTTATATACCCAAACTTATTTTCTTAAAATCTTAACCAACTGAATATAAATAATTTGAAAGATATTTTCTTCCATATTAAAGACATTTTTGTAATTTTATTTTTATAATACCTGATAAGGTACTTTAATTTTCATTATGTTTGAATGGTGAAGTTTTAAATTATTTTTTTGTTATTATTCAATTAATTTTGTTTTTGTTAGTTAATTATATATTCTTTACGAAATATTAATATATATGTTCACGAGATAAAAGTAAGATTTACATGCATATAGTATATTCTTCCTGCTATTTGTGTAAAATTTCACTAAATAATTTAAATATTCATAAATTTATTTTTATTATTAGCCGTCAACCGTAAAATAAAAAATAAAAAGATTTAATTTGAGAAAACAAGAATGAAACACGTAACATGTAACATAGTCACGTAGCCCGCTATAAAAGCTCACGTTCCCCTTCTTCCCATGCATGGTAATAATTTTTTATTGGTAATTAGTAAATAAATTTAATATTATGGAATTTATTAAACAATATTAAAACCTATCAGTTATTAAAATTAAAGTATCAATATTATTTTAAAATTACGAAATAATGTAAAATAAAATAAATTTTTTTTTGTTATTTATATTTAATAACATAAGCATAAATTAATGACTGTAAAAATATATATTATGATTTGTAACATAAGCATGTCAGTGAGTCACTCAGCAAGAGCAGAGTATACAAATATTTAATTGTGAAGAAGAGAACGAAGAGAAGGTTCCGAATTTTCGTTGTTTTTAAATGAGAGAAAATCCTCTATTTATAGACAGCATAAGGTAGTATAAAAAAAATGTTTATTGTGCTTGTTGAAAAAGTTACAACTATTTGAAAAAATTGCAACCCTTTGAAAATGTCATAATTCTTTATAAAAGTTACAATTCTTCATTAATATCACATTTTTTCATAAAATTCAGAACTTTCCATAAAAGCGATAACTTTTCATAAAAGTAACATTTTTTCATAAATATCGAACTTTTCATGAAATGAGAAGACTGATTTTAAAAATAAATAAATTAAAAATAAATTCTAATTTGTGGTGGCACGCTACTACATAGGCGTGGTTAAGATTTTCTCTTATATATTTATATGATTAATAAAAATAAATAGAAAAAAAATATCTTTATTTAATTTATACCTTCTATATTATTCAAATTCAAATACAACAGGAAATATCTCATCAAGCATGCCATAAAAGACACTCATAAATATAGGCTAAGAAAATTACAATCGTAAATTAAAATGAGTGTTGCTAAAAGCTTCGCTATTTAGCAATAGAACAATAATAATAATAATAATAATAACAAACTACATTTTTAGAATCGATCAAATTTGATAGATTCGTCTCGAAAATAATTTCAACCACTTGATATTCATCAGACGCATTCGTTAACGTTCCCTTTTACGTTTATTAGCATTAGAAATATAATTAATATCTCCTTGAGGAATATCACACAAAACATGTTGATCCATTGTCAATACAGTTACTGGACTTGAAGGGCCATAATTAAAAACTTCACTTGTTATTAATTCTTGATATTCCTTAATCAAGAATTGTTTATTTATCACCATTCTTTGACACTTGCTTAGATCATCCTAAATGACAAAAAAATAAAAATGAAAGGGTTATGAAATCCACAATTAAAATTCGGTAACGAGTAGATATTTCTATAATTAAATACATTACGAGATGTTTTTTCATACTTTCATCGATTAATATGTTATATATTATCAAACTCTAATAATGAGGTTCTTAGTAAAGTATTATACTCCTTTCTACTTGACACTACGACAAAAACAACTTTTAGCGATAATAAATAGACACAATAATAAAGAGTGTAAAGTTTTTACCGACATTAGTTAAGTGTCATTAGATTCAATATGTTAAAAAAAACATATTTAGCAAATTTCTAATTAATTAATTACTGCTAAAACTTATTTTTGATGAAGCGTGATGTGACGATTAATTTTTTTTGTAAAAGTCAAAAGAGGTTTTCTTAACACGTTTTTGCAAATTAAAATAATTTTGTTTCTTTTTAATTAGAGTATGTTATAACTTATAGTATTTTTTATCTAATTTTTTCTGATTCAAAAAAAATTAGAGAATATTTTATGTTCAATGCACATAACATTAGTTAGTTTGATTCATATACTCCAATATACAAGCATGACATAAAAAAAAAGAGTAATTATTATTTTCTACATTAAAAAAAAAGGATTGTGTAAAAATTTACCTTTTGGTTTTGAGGGATGAGTCTAGTAAAATTATTGAAACAAGAGTCATCTATTAATAGAGACAAATCTTCAGAAATGCATGTAACAACAGATTGTGCAATCACACAAGGCCTCAACTCCAAGAATTTAACATCTGTCAAACATATAAATATTAATCGATCTGTCAGTATATATAATTTAAATTTTTTCAATAAAAAAAAAGAATAGTTTTAAGTAGTTGATTTTTTATACGAACACTCAACTAACTGTAATCTTTCTGAGATAATCATAAATCGAATAACAGAAATCAATTCAAGTTTTAAGTTACCCAAAAGAATTCGAAGAAGTAGGTCATTGACACTTGAAGTGAAATCTCGAAGGAGGGATAATTTGAGCGTATTAATATTCCATTGAAATAATTCAATATATGAATATGGTATTGTAGAATTTAATCTCCATCCTAAAGTCTCCAATAATGTCAATTCCATACGTTGAATCATTGTTGATTCAAACAAATGTTCAACTCCTTCCATCTATATATCAAACAACAACAACGGTTAATAACATAATCAGTATAATTTCATAAATATAATCTGAAGATAATAGTGTGTACGTAGACCCACACCTATTGTATGAGAATGAAAAAAAATTATTTCTGATCGACACTCGAGTTAATCTATCTATCAATAATGATAATATAAATAATAAAAATAAAAAACTACCTGTAATTCAAGCAATTGAGGGGGACTTGTTTCATGGAATTTAGAGGACACAGACAAACATGCAATTGAGAGTAACTCAAACATCCAATATTTCCATCCCTACAAAAAAAAAAGATTGTGTAATATAAAATTTGATCAATTAACTCGAATTAATTTATATATATATATATATATATATATATATATATAACTTAATATAATATAT